GCCATATATTTTTTCAGACAGGGTCTCACTATGTAGTTGAGACTGACCTGGTACTCACTATATAGCCCAGGCTGGTCTCGAATTCACAGCAATCCTCCTGCCTCAACCTCCCAAGTGCTGAGATTACAAGCATGCGCCACCATGCCCAGCAAGGCCAAACTCTTAAGTGAAATAAATAAGACACATGTGTAAATACTGAATAGTTTCTCTGGTGCAAAAAATAAAAGTGTAAATAAGATCCAAATTGTATAATTGACAACGTGAATTGGAAGAAAAGGGGTGAGGGTGTGAGAGATGTTGAATGGTTAGGGGAAAGGAAATAAGGGTAAAGAAAAAATATAAGAAAAGGGAAAAAATGGAAACAAAATCTTTGTAAATAGGGGAGTGGGGAGGGGTGAAGGGAGAGCAGGGGTATGGGGAAAAAAGAGACCAAGATCTTTCATGTAAGGGTAACAAGATACCAATGATAAGTGTGACTGGACTGTATACTTAAAAAGTACCAAAAACTCAATGACAAAAAAATGGAGTACTACTCAACCATAAAGAATGAGAAACTACAGTCATTCATAGAAAAATGGATCTATATCAATGCCATACTTTTAAGTAAAATAAGTAAGACACACATGTGTAAATACTGAATAGTTTTCTGGTGTGAAAAACTAAAAGTATGAATAAGATGCATTGTATAACTGATAATGTGAAATAGGAATAACAGTCTAAAGGAGTAAAGGAAGTGGGAAGGGTAGGGGAAAGGAAATAAGGGAAAAGAAAAAATATGAGAAAAGGAAAAAATGGAAATGAAGTCTTTGTAAATAGGATAGTAGGGAGGGGGTAAAGGGAGGGCAGGGGTAAGGGGAAAAAATGAGAACCAAGACCTGTCATGTAAAGGTACAAGATCCCAATGATGAATGTAACTGTACTGCATACTTAAAAAGTACCAGTAAACTCAATGAAAAAAAAAAAACTTAACCACCAAGATGACAATATTAAGAGGTGGGGCTTTGGGGGATTAATTGCATCATAAGAACTCTACTCTCTTGAATGGGATTAATGCCCTTATGTAGAAGGGAGAGTGTACATGCTTAAAGCACTATATACCCATGTGCCTAAATGTCACAATGAAACCTATTAATGTTCAAAATTATTATGCCTTAATTGTAATGAAAATAAATGAAACCTATATTAATGTAAAATATAATAGCATCAATGGTTGTGTTTTGGTTTTGGTTTTGTACCAAGGATCTAACTCAGACCTTGTGCTTGTGAGGCAGGTGACAGCACCACTGAGGTAAATTCCCAGCCCTAAAAGTTGCTATTGTGATAAAAAGGGAGGTATATAAGTGACCTGCCTTGTCCCTTCCACCAGGTAAGGACATAGAAGGTGCCATCCATGTAGAACAGGCTCTTACCAGGCATCAAATTTGCTGGTGCCTTGATCTTGGACTTCCCAGCCTCCAGAACTAAAAACACATTTCTGTTCTTTATAAATTACTCAGTCTAAGGTAACATGTTATAGCATCCCAGAAGGACTAAGATAGATAGTGATAATAATTATACAATATTATTCATAAGTTTTATACCACTAAATTATACACTTACAAATGGTTGAGATCATAATTATGTTATGTAATTTACCACAATAAAAAAGTGAGATAGGACAGGGATTTAATTTAGTGGTTCCGGAGCATGATTTGCAAGTGCAGGGACCCAAATTCAATTCCCGGTACCAAAAAAAAAAAAAAAAGTGAGATTCTCATTCCCCCATCAAAATGGGTGTAAACATATACCCATCAAAATATACACATCAGGTATGTGTGTATATCTGACAATATTCAATATAGGTTAAGGTCTATAATTATAAGTTGTCCATTTCGTAAGGTAATATCAAGATATTTTGGATGTGAGAGCAAGGGAGTTGAGAAGAAAAAAATGTCAGAGTGAAATGGAACTCAATATGTAAGGTTAGTATGTCAGAACTTGAAATATAACAGGAACCAATGAATACTTCACAGTGGCAGGTCAAGGAATAGCTAGGACAAATGTTCAACTTTTAAATTATGTACTTTGCTGTTGACCTTGAGTTATATGAAAAAGTAGTTGTTTTCCATTTTTCTTTTAAAAAAAAATTTCTGTATTTATTTTATTTGAACAACCCACAAGGAGATAAATACCTCAATTTTAAAGTCTACACATTTTCCTAACTAGTAAGAGAATTTACATGCTTTATGTTTCAGTGAAGCAAATTGTAATGTTAGTGAGGCCATAGAAAATGCTTTATGGCAGTGTAGGTAGTGAATAGGACTGGGTATGGCATTTCACAGTAAGGAACAAGTGACATCATTTTTTATTTGGATCTAATCTTCACAATGCAGATAGACTGGTAAGGTACACTGCATATGTTTGGTTAGCAAATTTAACTTACTATAACAAATCTATAATAACCTATAATTTTTAATTTTAGTAATTACAAATATATTTCTATAATAAATATTTTAAATGTAGTTCCTATAGTAAATTTAAACAATAAGCTTACAAACTCCAGCATTTATAGTTCAAAGTTTTAAATTGTAGACTTTCTGAAGAGTTCAAGAACAAATATATAATATAAATTGTAGTTATATTTAAAAGAAAGTGACTGTGTATATATTGAAAGTTAAAGGAAGTACTTTATTCCCCTTGGATTAAAGTTCTTCCACTGTGCCCTTCAGACTACCAAATAGAACTGTTTCATTCAGTCTTCCTTAATCTTTTGAATGAAAATAAGAGGACTTGAAAGAATTTTTGATCTATGCATTAATTTTTCTTTTAATCAATGAGGAATGAAAGTATTCTCAACTCTATATTTTTGTTCTACAATACATGTTTTAATGCATTTTTTAAAACATTCAGATTATGGTTAATTGATCATCAACAAAGGTACCAAATATACACAATTGAGAAAAGACAGTCTCTTCAATGAATAATGTTAAATAAAAATTATAAATTAGAGACATTTATAGCTAAAGGGTGCACATTGAGGCGACACTATTAAGTGATATAAATAGGACACATGTGTAAATACCAAATAATTTCTCTAGTGTGAGAAACTGAAAGTGTAAATAGAACTAAAAGTTATAATAGATGATGTGAAATAGGAAGAAAAGAGACAAAGAGGAAGGGGAAATGGGAGGGGTAGTGGAAAGGAAAGAAGGGATGGAATCAATATGAGAAAAGGAAAAATAATGGAAACAAAGTCTTTGCAGATTGGGAGGGAGGGAGGGCTTGAAGGGAGGGCACGGGAATAGGGAAAAAATAAGAACCAAGGCTAATTATGTAAAGGTGCAAATTTCCAACAATGAATGTCATTATATTGTATACATTAAACATACTAATAAAATTAATAAAAGTTTAAAAATAAATAATGTTAGAAAAACTATCTCCACACAGAAGAATGAAATAGGCTCTTATCTGATATCCTATAAAAATAAACAACTCAAAATGGACTACAAATTTGGACTGTTGCTTATAAACCCAGCAGTCTGGGAGGAAGAGGCAAGAGGAATACAAGTTCCAGCCCAGCTGGGCAATTTAGCAACTTAGCAAGACCCTGCCTCAAAATAAAATAAATGTTGGGCCGGGGATTTAGCTCAGTGGTTCTGCCACCTGCCTTGCAAGAGCAAAGACCCGAGTTCGATCCCCGGTACCAATAAATAAATAAACAAACAAACCAACAAACAAACAAATAAATAAATAATAAAATAAAATAAATGTTAGAAAAAAACATTTCTAAAAGGTCTGGAGATGTAGCTCAGTGTAAAGGCCCTGGATTCCATCCCCAGTACTGTAAAAAAAAGGATTAAAGACTTATATGTAACACCTGAGACTATAAAACTACTAGAAGAAAATATAGGGGAAATCCTCAATTACACGATATTGGCAATGATTTTTTTTATAGAACTCCAAAAGCAAAAGTACACAAATGGGATCACATCAAACTAAAAAGCCTCTTCACGACAAATGACATAATCAACAGAGTAAAGAGATAATTTGCAGAATGGGAGAACATATTTATAAACCGTAATTTTGAGCCCAGCCTGACAATTTAGCAAGACTTTGTCTCAAAATTTGAAAAGGTCTGGAGATATAGCTCAGGGTAAAGACCCCAGGGTCAATCAGTGCCACTGAGAGAGATAGACAGAGACAGAGAGGCTGTTGTAAATTATTGGTGTGAGTGTAAATTAGTATAGGCATTACGGAAACAATAGGAAGGTTCCCCGATAATTAAAAATAGAAAAATAAATAAATAAAAACAAAAATAGAACCACCACATGACCGAGAAACCCCACTACCAGGAATATATTCAAATGAAATGAAATCAATAATTTATATGGAGACATGTGTACTCCACGTTTCTTGCAGCATTATTCATAATAGCCATGATATAGAATCAGCCTATATGCACATCAGCAGATGAATGGATAAAGAAAATGTAGCTTATACAAGCAATGGAATATTCTTCAGCCTTAAAGAAAAAAATCCTATCAACTAAGTCGACATGGATTAACCTGGAAGACATAAAATAAGCCATGCACAAATAAATTAATTAAAATACTTTTTTTTTTCAGTACCGGGGATCGAACTCAGGACCTTGCATTTGCAAAGCAGGCGCAGCGCCACTGAGCTAAATCCCCGGCAAAATACATTTTTTAAACAATCAAATTTTTGCATATGTAACTGATTTTTTAAAACCAAAAGATCTCTTTGCCAGTGGTGCCCTGCAGCTGCGGGCCAGGAGTGCTGGCGAGAATAGCTGGGAGCGCAGGAGAGTCGCCTGCCCGGGCCAATTGCGGCAGGCCTTTGGGAAGGGAAGCCCGGCAGGCAGCTGGAAAGGCAGGCCCGCCCCTCCACCCCGCCCGCCGAGCAGACCACTAGCCCTGTGCTCACGCTCTGCAGCTCGTCTGCGCAGCTTCTGCATCTCTTCCTATCGATGCTTGACGTTTTGCTCGCGCGGAAGTGCGACAGCTAGGTGGAAGCACCGCAGGGACAGCTTTCCGGACTGTGCGGCTGCCGCCATGCCTGATTCGCCGCTACAGGTGGCGGTGGTGTGCTTCAGCAACCAGAACCGGAGCATGGAGGCGCATGCCATCCTCAGCAAACGAGGATTCAAGGTCCGGTCCTTTGGAACAGGAACTCACGTGAAGCTTCCAGGACCAGCACCCGACAAGCCAAATGTTTACGATTTCAAAACTACATATGATGAGATGTACAATGATCTTGTTAGGAAAGACAAAGAACTCTATACACAAAATGGCATTTTACATATGTTGGATAGAAATAAGAGAATCAAGCCCCGGCCAGAGAGGTTCCAGAACTGCAAAGATCTGTTTGATCTTATCCTCACTTGTGAAGAGCGAGTCTATGACCAAGTGGTGGAAGATCTGAATTCCAGAGAACAGGAGACCTGCCAGCCTGTGCATGTGGTCAATGTGGACATCCAGGACAACCAGGAAGAGGCCACGCTTGGAGCATTCCTCATCTGTGAGCTCTGCCAGTGTATCCAGCACACGGAAGATATAGACAATGAAATGGACGAGCTGCTGCAGGAGTTCGAAGAGAAGACTGGCAAGGCCTTCCTGCACACCGTCTGCTTCTACTGATGAGAGAGGCTCCCGCACACCAAAGCCTTCCTGAGCTTTCTGTTGTTAGGACTTTTTCTTTCCTGATATTTGTTTGTAATTTGAAATATTCAGCCAGTGGAATTTGGTATTACCCAAATAAACTGTACATACGAAATGAAAATATATCATAAATACCGGATTAAAGTCATTCGTTTATTCTGTCCCATTTTACCTACAAATGGGGTATAGAATGTAGAGTTGCATTTAATCAAAAAAAAATCTATAGTACATTCCCCTCTCCAACATATATTTGTCTTTAGTTGTGCCAGTCTTTCCCTTCCCCCATTCTAGCTGGCTGGATTGTATAAATACCTGAATAAAGCAATGGTTGTATCTTATTAGGGAAAAAGCATGGAATTGCTAATAAATAAATACTATTTGTCTTCAAAAACAACAAAATATAAGCTCGTAACTAGGAATACAAGTGTACTCTTATATGATATTGTCTAGCTGATATTTAACTTTGATTCCATAACAAGTCTGTATTTCAAAACATTTTGTATACCATAAATATATATACATCTTGAACTAAAAATAATAAACAGATGACTTTTCATCTTTCTACATTCCTACTTTGTGACCCACAAGATAGTTTATTTAAAGTGTCTGTTTGGCTAGGCTGTCTGTAATTCCAAGAATTTCTGCTGTAAGATACAAGGAAAATTCCCTCATGAGAATTGTAGAAAAGAGAGGGCATCATTACATTATTTAATAGCAAATACACCTTCTTCCAATTAGTCAATCAAGGGCCAATCTAGATGCTGGTGTGAAGGTATTCTACAAGTGAAATTAAAGTCTCTAATCAGTTACTGTTGAATAAATCTGAAGGAAGATAATTGCAGATGGGATTGGCCTAATCATATGGAAGCCCTTTAAAAGGCTTAAATTCTCTCTGAGAACAGAAACTCCAAGCAGAAGAAAGGAAGAGAACCTAAACATTTCAACATTTGGGGATCTTCACACTCATTATTTATTGCCCATTTGCTGGCTCATTTGGTTGGAATGTAGTTGTAGTAGCCTAGCCTGCAACTATTCTACCTTTTCCCTGGACATTTCTTCAGCTCACGTTTGAGAGTGCTATGGTTTGGGTCTAGATGTCCCCCCAAAGCCTCATGTGGTCATAGGGGTTTTGCAGAGGTGACTCAATCTAGCATGTTTGATGCTGAGATTAAGAGTGTGTGGTTACTAAATATGTCCACTGACTGGTTTGGCACCACCCTCATCCCAGTAGTCTGGATACAAGCGGCAGAAAGACACTGTTAAGGTTCCTTGTTGCTTTTGCTACTATGGTCACCATGAACTGTTTCTTCTCTGCAACATTCCTCTGCCATGTGCCATTCCACCTTGGAGCCAGCTGGTTATGGACTGAACCCTCTACAAACTGTCAGCAAAATAAGGCCTTTCCCCTCTAACTTTGGGTGTCAGGTATTGTGACTCAGCCATAAGAGAAAAGTAACTAACACCAAGTGATTCCACCTTCTTGTTATCATCCTTTCTTAACTTGTGCCCTTGGACTTTCAGCTTTCTAGCCAGCCTCACAATTAATTAATTGGGTAAGAAAATTCCTGTAATAAGCCCTATCATATATATGTGTACACATATAGAAAAAGGAATCTGAGGGGGTGGGGTACTGGGAATTGAACTCAGGACTTTGAACTTACCAGGCTGGCTACAACCCTGGCCCATAGGATATAT